GCAGAGGGACAAGGTCTGGACCCTTCTGCCATTAAATTCAGTCCATCCCCTCCCAACCATTGCTGAATTGTGTGACCCCTCCCTACCCTTTCCCATTTCAGTTAAATTAGGGTTGATCCCACATGGCATGATCACATCCACACCTCCCTGCACTTCCAGGGAGTACATTTTCCCTTTTTTCTAATTACATACACGTTGATGTTCATATGGAGTGCCCATCAACTTAGTGCACAGCCTGCAATCTGTTTTAATAAACCAATGAACTGGCATCACAGCGATTCAGCCCACAAGAGATAAATCCCAAGAGATGCCCAAGTGCCCTCTCTGAACCCCACATAATTTCACTTTTCCTCAGATGGCACCTGTGGACTTTCTTCAAGAACCTCCTCATTCAGAATCAAGACTATTTTTCTATCCTCAGAAGCAAAGATATTTACATTGCTTTATTTGAGGAGAGGAAGGGAGAGACAGAAACGCCAATGGGAGAAAGATACATTGATTGGTTGCCTCCCATACGTGCCTGGACAGGGGGGATTGAACTTGGAATCTAGGTATGTGGGCTGATCAGGGATCAAAACCATAAAGTTTTGGTTATGGGAAGATGTTGCAACCAACAGAGCCACACCAGCCAGGGGGAAATCAAGACGTGCTTGTTTGAAGGGGTCACCTGGGTTACACTGCCCAGGAAAACCCAGTGTTAAAAACACAGTGCAGTGTACAGATGATGTACTAGAGAATTGCACACTTGAAACCTATATGATTCTATTACTGATGTCATCCCAATGAATTCTTCTTAATAAAACAATGGTTCTTGGCATTTTACCATGCTCTGGTATCTATGGTCCCTTTGTGCCCAACTTGGAGGTGCCCCTGTGAGGTCCTCATGCAGAGTCGGGAACTGACATACAAACTGACTTTCACAGACAGTACAAGCCAGTGTGGGACACCAGTCACACCAGTCTGACAGCCCCAGGGTACACCTAAGCTGCCTGCCCTTTTATGTGTAACGATTATTTCTACTTCCATGTACAAACAGTTGTGGGACTTTGCTCAGCAAGAAATGTTTAACTGATTTTCCATGAAAGTACAGGACCACAGTCTCAAGGCATCTAGATAAGATACCAAGGGGAAAATCCTACTATCCCTTGGGGGAGAGGACAGTGAGCTGATAGCATTCTAATGCATCACTTGTAAGAGGGCAAATTATAGTCACCAATTGAGCAAATATATTACACTTACCCAGTTAAAGACACACAGCTCTACCTTTAAGTACCTGCCTTAGACAAAATGTGTACATGTGTGCCATTCACTAGGACAGTGAATAGGATTCAGTTGCTACTGGTTTGAGAGATTTCAAGAAAGTCCGAAGCACGAGGCAAGAGAGGCCATTCAAATGGAAAGCCACTGGAACCAGCTTGGGTGGGCTTACAAGTTGGTGGAGTGGGAACTGCTTGGGACTCTAGAAGTCCTCTGACTCACTCAGCCACAGTCCCCACTGGTTTTTACAGTCAAAAATTATAGACTTCTTTCCTTGGTTCTGGAACTCTGGGCTGTGGAGCCTGGTGTGGGGCAGGATCCCTGGCACCTCAGGAGGGATCTCTGTAGCAGAGCTCTCCCTCCTAACTTCTGTCTGCCACAGGTGGGTGTGGGACCAGCCCATTTTGTGTCTCCTAGTTTCCATGTGGCTTCTTCTTTACACCCTTAGTTGTGGGACTTCTGTTCAGCTAGAATGCAGGAAGTTCTGGATGATGCTTTTTCTGTAGTTCAGCTGTAATTCTAATGTGGTTGATAAAAGTGTGTGTGTGTTTTGCTTTGCTTTGTTGTTTCATGACTGGTTTATTTCACTTGTCCTCCAAATACATCCATGTAGCACATGACCTTTTTTTTAAGATTTTATTTATTTATTTTTAGAGAGGGAAGGGAGGGGAAAAGAGAGAGAGAGAGAGAAACATCAATGTGCGGTTGCTGGGGGTCATGGCCTGCAAGCCAGGCATATATCCTGACTGGGAATCGAACAGCAACACTTTGGTTCGCAGCCCGCTCTCAATCCACTGTGCTATGCCAGCCAAGGCCATGTAGCACATGACCTCTTTTCCTTCTTTTATAAATAAGCTTTATTTCTCAATACAGTTGACATCAAATGTTATGGAAGTTTGTGGATCACATGATAGAGATTAAGCATTTTTCTTTCAATTTTCCTTCTGCCATTTTCCCTCGCTATTGCATCTCACTCTCTCCAGTCTGTTGTCTTTGTTCTTCTAGCTGAATTACACCACTTTCTATTCCTTTCAACAAGTGTGAACATAGGACAATAAATAAAAACTTACTGCTCTGGAAAGGCCTTATTTCAGTTTCACTTTCTTTATCAAGTAACTAGGAAATACTTTACAATTTCAATTAAAGTGTGTGATTCAACTCCTCAGAGAGAAAAACGCCCCCTGTGCTGAAGGTTCTCTCCCCAGAAATCTGTTCTCTCTCCTGGACACGCAGCCTCACAGGGTGGGGTTGGGAGGAGACACAGGCTCCCACTTAGGGACTGGCCTGGCTGACACGTTCACTTTGTCCCTTAAACCTAATGGGGCTCAGTACACAATCTTCACTGACAATCTGCTCCTGGAAGGTGTGTCCCCACTGTCTTCTGGTATCACTCTTTGCTATGAGGATGTCCAGCACCAGCGAGTTTGTCACTATGGTGATGTGCACTTCCTCTAGGAAGTAATTCAGGACCCCAGGCTATTTGTGTTGAAACTGACATAAAAAAATTAACCAATTAAAATTTTTTTACTCCTATTTACTGGATTTTATCATTTAAATTTTTTTATTGTTGTTCAAGTACATTTTCCTCCATTCCCACCCCCACGACTGTTATAGATTTGAGAGAGAGAGAGAGAGAGAAGGAGAGAGACCTAGACTTCTTATTCTACTTACTGAGCATTCATTAGTTGTTTCTGGTGTGTGGTCTGACCAGGAATAGAGCCCACAACCTTGGCATACTGTGACGATGCTCTAACCAACTAAGCTACCAACAAACTAAAATTTGCCATTTTAAAGTGTAAAGTTCACCCTGGCTGGTGTAGCTCAGTGGATTGAGCGTGGGCTGCGAACCAAAGCATCGCAGGTTCAATTCCCACTCAGGGCAACATGCCGGAGTTGCAAGGCCATGGCCCCCAGCAACTGCACATTGATGGTTCTCTCTCTCTCTTTCTCCCTCCATTCCCTCTCTGGAAATAAATAAATAAATAAGTTTTTTTTTAAGTGTAAAGTTCAGTGTAGAATATGTCTTTGTGTTTTTATTTAACCTCCAATTTCTTCATTTACCACAAAAGGTCAAGACATAGATTTTATTTTTGCATACATGCCCCCTCTCCCCAGCTGGTCTTTCCATGTCTCAGTAAATTATTTGAATATTTATATATTTCTCTCTGGAGCTGTTACTAAATGTCATGCTCACTTCTTTCCATTTGACACAATCAGTGTGACACTGGCCCTGTTCATTCTAGCCCCTCGTAGCTTCAGTCCACACTTCTGGTGTGCTTGTGCTGCATTCTAGAAAATTCCTCAATATTATACTCCACTCTCATAACTGGACCTTCGCCTCTGTCTCATCCATGATGGGAATGATTGTTTTAATGTGTCCACGTATTGGGTTATCCAACTGTCAGATTTCTAACTACTTATATTCTTCTGTAAAACAATGCACATTCCTAGTTCAAATCATTGAATGCTCCTTTTCTTTTTCAGATACTTGCACATAATCATCTTCCATTGCTCTCATATTTCCCACTGACTCTCTTTCGCTGTGTATCACAGTCACCACTGTCAGTAGACAGGGTCCATAGCACTGTCTGTCATCATTAGGATTTCTCCACTGTCTAGTCTTGTAGGAGTCTCTCCCCTCCCACACCTGGTCTCCCACAGATTCTCCAGGGTTGTCTTGGGAGTCAGTCTGACCAGGGGCTCTGGCAGCTGCCCCTGCCCCATGCCATTTACTCTCAGACTCAATACCTGCTCACCATTCTGCCTACCAGGGCTTGTCCAATGGGAACCTCACACACACACACATGGGACAGACATGCAGTGCTGACATACTGGACTCAGTCTGTTTCAGGACACACAGGGGAGACTGCTCACTGCTGACCATGAACTTGGGGAAGTGGGCAGAGATATCCCAGAGCCCACTCAGAACCTTGGGAAAGGAACCACATTTCCAGCCTTCACCTGCTCCCTGACCCCCTTCCTGTGAGGACCTGGGGTCCTTCTCTATCCACTCAAGAGGGGAATTTCCTCCCTACGACTCATGGATAGTCCCAGTCACTTGGGCCATCAGTTTCAGTCTCTGTTCTCCACTGTGGTTCCCTCTCCATTTCTGGAACTTTCATCTCTCTCTCCTAGACATGTCATGCCTACACAATATAGAGCTTTTGTGAATAGTTGTGCTTGGTATTCAGAGCAGACAAGGTTTCAAGTGGGTGCTACACTCCTGCCCTTGACCCTGGACACCTTGATCCTCCCATGTCCCAGCCCACTCATGTCCTCATCTGGTCTGGAAATGGAAGTCTCCCTTCCATGAACCAGCACCACTGACCCACAGTCACTGTGGGGACTGGGGTTTGTGACAACATGATCCAGATGAGGAGACTGAGGCAGAGACTGGACATTACCACTCGAGGACACATGGACATTGGATGATGAGTATTTAAGTAAATATCTGCTTTAAGGAAAAATCAGGACTGTAACGCAAATCAATGTCTCCTGAAGCTTGAAGGCAGGACCACAGCATGATGAGGAGGCTTGAACCAGGAAACAAGGGGCACTGAGGGGGCAGGGATCACTCAGGGGTTTTTCCCCAGGAAGGTGGGGTGGACACTCTTGCTAAGAAAAAATGAGAACTCAGTGAGGGTGGCTGTAATAGAGAGAAAACCACACTCTGGGTCCAGAGGAAAGGACGTGTTTCCTTCCCCTGTTCCTCTGTGTCTGTCCTTTGTGCTCATTGCCACACTGACACTCTCCTGAACTGCACAGTGAGGAAGAGACCGTGTCTCTGCTGATCTGAGCTCTAAAGGCACAGGAACCTTCGTCTTCTTGAAGCATCTCCAGGGCCTGGGTGCCCACTGTCCATGAGGAGGACCCACAAGGAGGTGCTGAAAACCAGCAAAGGGTGAAGGGAACCCTTGGGGGAGGCTCTGACATGGAAGGACGTGGCCTGAATCACCTCACCTGCAAGAGGTGTCTCAGGAGGTTTAGAGTCTATTTTTACCTCCATCATGATAATGAGAGATAGACTCCTGGGGACACACTGTCCCCCTTCCTGAGGGGCTGCTGACATGACAACCTTAAGACAGGGACGGACAACCTCCCAGTGACCACACCCTGTGTGTCTATCACCCTCAGGACACCCTGGTCTCTTCCTTCTACAGGACTGGTTTCATAGAGGAGACACCATGTCCCCCAGCCTCACATCCCTGCTCTGCCTTGGTGAGATGTGAGGAGGGGGAGGGGAAACCCTGCTCTGTCAGGACCCCAGGACTCAGGGGGTTCCTGAGGAGAAGGGCTATGCTCAGGATTCAGGGCAAATCTCTCACAGGGACTCTCTTGCAGGGCTGAGCATGGGCCTGAGGACCCCAGTGCAGGCAGGTGAGTGTGTCTCTGGGGTCCCAGGACCCTCTCCACATAAAGGACAAGGTGTTTCCCCATCAGGCAGCTGGGGTTGGAAAACAGAAGTTCAGGGTTAATGGATGCAGGATGTCAGGGAAGTTCCTGGGGCTGCGATCTGGACACTGGGGGTGAAAATGATTTGTGACTCAGGTTCTGATTTCTTTCCAGGGACTCTCCCCAAACCCACCCTCTGGGCTGAGCCAGGCCCTGTGATCCCTCAGTTCAGCCCCTTGACCATCTGGTGTCAGGGGGCCATGCAGGCCCAGGAGTTCCGTTTGGATAAAGAGGGAAGCCCAGCATCCTGGGGCACACAGATCCCACTGGATCCCAGGAACAAGACCAAGTTCTCCATCACACAGATGACAGAGCACACTGCAGGGAGATATCAGTGTTACTACCTCAGCCAAGGTGTCTGGTCAGAGCACAGTGACCCCCTGGAGCTGGTGGTGACAGGTGAGGGCACACCAGGGTCCCAGCCTCAGGCTCTGCCCTCAGGAAGGGGCATGCTCTCTAGGCATCTCCCCCTCACAGCCCAGCCCTGGAGAAGGTGAGGGAGGTGTGAGCCCCACTTAACATGCTGCCTCCATCTCTCCTAGGAGTCTACAGAGAACCCAGCCTCTCAGCCCTGCCCAGCCCTATTGTGACCCCAGGAGGGACCGTGACCCTCAAGTGTCATGGCTTATGGCAAAGATTTGACAGGTACATTCTGACAAAGGAAGGAGAAGACAGGAGCTCCTGGACCATGGACTCTCAGCAAGACCTCAGCGGGCAGTTCCAGGCCCTATTCTCTGTGGGCCCTGTGATCCCCAGCCATAGGTGGACATTCAGGTGCTATGGATATAACAGGAACAGACCCCAGGTATGGTCACAGCCCAGTGACGTTCTGGAGCTCCTAGTCTCAGGTAAAAAAAATTCTCTATTTTGCCTCTTGTGTGGATGGAGTCTGTAGACAGGTTATTAGGGTCTTTGCTGGGAGGGGAGCCCCATGTGGGAATGGGGTTAGGGGAGCACAGAGGTTCCTGGGTCAGAGACACAGAGAGAGAGATAGTGGGGCATGGAGACCAGGCCAGGAGGAGGGTTCCTGGGAGGAGCATCCCTCTCACTCCTGTCTGGTCCCTGCAGGTGGCTCAGGGAAGCCCTCCCTCCTGACCCAGCAGGGCCCCATCGTGACCTCAGGACAGAAGCTGACCCTCCAGTGTCTCTCTGACCTTGGCTATGACAGATTCGCTCTGTCCAAGGAGGAGGGAGACAACCTTATTGAGAGCACAATCCTGCAGTTCCAGACTGGGCTCTCTCAGGCCAACTTCCCCCTGGGCACTGTGGGTGGCTTCCACGGGGGCCAGTACAGGTGCTATGGTGGACACAACCTCTCCTCTGAGTGGTCAGCCCCCAGTGACCCCCTGGACATCCTGGTGGCAGGTGAGGAGCCAGTGGGTTTAGTCAGGGATCCAGAGTCTGCTCAGGCCCTGCTGGGGGTCTCATGTGCTGATGGCTAGGACAAGGGGTGTAGGGTCTCCAGGGAGGGTAAGAGACACAGAGGCAGGGGAAAAGAGTGAAGGGGGAGACACAGAGAAAGCAGACAGAGAGGAGGGTCCTCAGAAAGGGGCCTAGTGACTCTGAGGTCAGAACTAGGTGGTAACAGCTCGTCACCCACCCCTCTCTCTCTAGGACAGCTCCCTGACAGACCCTCCCTCTCGGTGCAGCCGGGCCCCACAGTGGCCTCAGGAGAGAAGGTGACCCTGCTGTGTCAGTCACAGAGCTGGATAGACACTTTCCTTCTGACCAAAGAGGGGGCAGCCGGTCCTCTGCTGCGTCTCAGATCCGAGTCCCGAGCTCAGCAGCACCAGGCAGAGTTCTCCACGGGTCCTGCCACCTCAGCCCATGGGGGGACCTACAGGTGCTACAGCTCAGTCACCACCTTCCCCTACTGGTTGTCACAGCCCAGTGACCCCCTGGAGCTCCTGGTAAAAGGTGAGGAGCCTCTGACCCTGTCCTCTCTGTGCTCACTCAGCTCAGGGTCCTGTCCCTAGGAGATTCGGGGACAGAAATAAATGAGGAGTGCAGGAGGCTCCACAGAGGAGCTCTAGCCCCTGAGAGGTGGAAAGAGACAGGGCCTCCCACCCCTGAGCCCCCTGTTCTGAATCTCAGCAGAGAAAGAGCAGGAGGGAGGAGTGAGATGTGGGAGAAGTGAGGAGAAAGGTGATCAGACTGAGCAGAGAGGACAGATTCCCCTCCCCCACTCACCTCCTGCATCTTCATCTCAGAGTCTGACCCCTGGGGTCCCAGCCCCACTGGACCCTCTTCCATAGAGAGTAGCTTCCCCACAGTGCTGGGGCCCAGTTCTGCAGGCCCCTGGGCTCACCTGAACCTCCAGCACTCAGTGCTCACCTGACAGTGAGGAGGGGCTGTGCCAGGCTCAGGAAGAGCTGGGGGCTCCCAACCACACTAAGGGCTACCCTGTCTGCTCCGTGGTTCTGGGGGCTCTTGTCTGTTCCTGTTCCTTTCTGAGGACTTTCAGGTAATACTTGCATGTATAAATTTGAGTTATAAACACTTCAGCCTTCAGAAAGGAAATTCTGCTTTTATTTAACCGTGATTATGTTAAATTTGCCCATTTATTTTGAAAATAACCATTTATTATTAAGAGGTTCTTTCAGAAATTCTTTTATTGTTGTTCAATTACAGTCATTTGCATTTACTCCCCTCCACTCACCCCCCCCCAGCCATCCCCACTTCCATCCCCTGCCTCCACCCCTTCTTGGAGTTCTCCAGGTGCCCTTTACAGTTGTTCTGGAAACACTTCCTCCATTCCCCCATTATCCTCTCCCACCTCCCCTTATTAAGGGGTTTTTAAAAGCATGCTCTAAAAGGTTTACTTTTGACTTCAGATGCACTCTGAAGTTTTAGTCATAAAATTATCTATACTCAGAGCTCAAGAATTGTTTGAGTACCCCATATATGTCTGAGTATATAGATGAGACCCACCCATGGACCCTGAGTCCTCAGCTGCTGAATAAATATAAGCTCTCAGCTCCAGAAGAGTGAATTTGGATGGTTCAGTCCCCCTCAGAGAACGGGGGGATTAGAAGAACGTCCTCTTTTCTGTAATGAGCGACCACATTTCTCACCAAACCTGCATTCTCAGGGAAAGACAACCTATGTCCCAAAGGGCCTCAGGAGCAAGGTCTGCACTCAGAAGTCTCTGGGAGACTGACAAGGCCCATGGCAGCAGACAGGACCCTCATAGCAGAGAGAGTGTTCACAAAGGGGCTGGTAGCAGTCACATCATGAGGAACAGGACAATTGTTTTGAGGACAATTGGCTTGAGCAGGATCAATTCCTCATGCACCCACTTCTTTATGGTTTTCAAGGAGCAGCTGACACTATCAGCACATCACACAAGACCTCAGATTGCAAGAGTGGTGAACAGCAGAATCCTCAGTTGTGGGGCTGGGTGCAGAGGGTCCTGTCTCTCAGGGGAAGACAAGTGTGCTGGGTGGGCATCCAGAATCCAGGGCTGACTTTGTCTGCTGTGAGTTCTGTGACCTCTTGTTCACATTTTCTAGACTCCCACCCCCAGGACTACACAGTGGGGAATCTCATCCGCATGGGCCTGGCTGGCTTGGTCCTGGTGGTCCTTGGGGTGCTGCTGTTTCAAGCTCAAGACAGTGAGAGAATGGCCCAGGCTGCCACCAGGACCTGAACACAGAGGTAAAGGAGCACCATTCAGAGTGGGAGAGCCTTGGAAATGAGATCATGTACCCAGAAGGTTCTGGAAGATAATCTGGGACATGCTGCGTGACCAGTCTGCAGCTCACTTCAGGTGGAGAACTCATTGGTGATATGTAGGGGGGAGAGGTCTGGACCCTTCTGCCATTCTGCCCATCCTTTCCCGACCACTGTTGAGTCATGTGACCAGTTCCTACCTTTTCCCATTTCAGTTAAATTAGCTTTGATCCCAATGGCAAGGTCACATCCACACCTCCCTGTACTTTCAGAAAACTCGTTCTTTATTTCTAATTACACCTGCCTTGATGTGTGTATGGAGTGCCCATCCACTCAGTGCACAGCATGCAATCTATTTTAATGAATCCATGAGCTGTCATCACACACATTCAGCCCACAAGAGATAACTCCCAAGTGATGCCCAAGTGCCCTCTCTGGACCCCAGGTGCCTTCACTTTTCCTCAGATGGCACCTGTGGACTTTCTGCAGGAACCTCCTCACTTGGAATCAAGGCGATTTCTTTATCCTCACCTGAGGACACTTCATTGCTTATTTAGACAGAGAGGAAGGAACAAACATTGATTGGTTGCCTCCTATATGTGTCTAGACAGGGAATTGAACTTGCCATCTAGGTATATACCTTGACTGGGAATCAAAACCACAGAGTTTTGGTTATGGGATGATGCTCCAACCAACAGAGCCACACCAGCCAGGGGGAAATCAAGACACATTTCTTTGAAGAGATCACTTGGGTTGCACTGCCTTGGAAAACCCAGTGTTAAAAACACAGTGCAGTGTACAGATGATGTATTAGAGAATTCCACACTTGAAACCTATATAATTCTATTACTGATGTCATCCCAATGAATTCCTCTTAATAAAACAATGGTTCTTGGCATTTTCCCATGTTCTGGTATGTATGGTCCCTTTGTGGCGAAATTGCAGGTGCCCCTGTGAGGTCCTGATGCAGAGTTGGGAAGTGACACACAAACTGACTTTCACAGACAGTACAAGCCAGTGTGGGACACCAGTCACATCAGTCTGACAGCCCCAGAGTGCACCGAAGCTGCCTGCCCTTCTATGTGTAAGGATCATTTTTACCTCAGCATACAAACAATTGTAGGACATCTGTTCAGCTAGAAATGTTGTAACTGATTTTTCCCTAAAGTACAGGACCACAGTCCCAATGCATCTAGATGAGATGCCAAGGGGAAAATCCTACTATCCCCTGGGGGAGAGAACAATGAGCAGATGGAATTCTAATGCATCACTTGTAGGAGTGCCAGTTATAGTCACCAATTGAGCAAATACATTAGACTTACCCAGTTAGAGACACACAGCTCTACCTTTAAGTACCTGCCTTAGACAAAATGTGTACCTGTGCGCCATTCACAAGGGTACTGATTAGGATTCAGTTGCTACTGGTTTGAGAGATTTCAGGAAAGTCCGAAGCAAGAGGCAAGAGAGACCATTCAAATGCAAAAGCCACTGGAACCAGCTTGGGTGGGCTTGCAAGTTGGGTGGGGTTGGAACTGCCTGGGACTCCGAAAGACCTCTGACTTACTCAGCCAGAGTCGCTGCTGGTTTTCACCACCAAAAATTATGGACTTTTTTCCTGGGCTCTGGAACTCTGGGCTGCGGAGCCTGATATGGGGCTAGGTCCCTGGCGCCTCAGGAGGGACCTCTGTAGCCGAGCTCACCCTCCTGATGTCTGTCTGCCACACGTGGATGTAGGACCAGCCCATTCCCTGTATCTGAGTCTCAATGTGGCTTCTTCTTTACACCTTAGTTGGGAGACTTCTGTTCAGCTAGAATGCAGGAAGTTCTGGATGATGCTTTTTCTGTAGTTTAGCTGTAATTCTGATGTGGTTGAAAAAAAGTGAGTGTGGTTTTTGTTTTGCTTTGTTGTTTCATGGCTTGTTTATTTCACTTGTCCTCCAGATACATCCATGCAGCACATGGTCTCCTTTCCTTCTTTTATAAATAAGGCTTATTTCTCAATACAGTTGACATCAAATGTTATGAAAGTTTGTGGATACATGATAGAGATTAAGCATTTTTCTTTTAATTTTCCTTCTGCCATTTTCCCTCACTGTTGCATCTCACTTTCTCCAGTTTGGTGTGTTTTTTCTTCAAACTGAATGACATCACTTTGTATTCCTTTCAACACATGTGAACGTGTCAAAATGTCTAAAAACTTGCTGCTCTAGAAAGGCCTTATTTCAGTCTCATCTTCTTTATCAAGTAACTAAGAAACACTTTACTATTTAAATTAAAGTGTGTGATTCAACTCCTCAGAGAGAAAAACGTCCCCTGTGGTTAAGGTTCTCTCCCCAGAAATCTGTTCTCTCTCCTGGAGACTCAGTCTCACAGGCTGGGGTTGGGAGGAGATACAGGTTCCCACTTAGGGACTGGCCTGGCTGACACATTCACCTTGTTCCTTAAAGCTAATGGGGCTCAGTGAACAATCTTCACTAACAATCTGCTCCTGGAAGGGGTGTCCCCACTGTCTTCTGGTGTCACTTTTTGCTATGAGGAAGTCTGGTCCCAGGGAATTTGTCACTATGGTAATGTGCACTTCCTCTGGGAAGTAATTTTAGGACCCCAGGCCATTTGAGTTGAAATGCACATAAAAGAAAATTAACCAATTAATGTTTTCATTTTTATTTGATTTTATTGTTTTAACTGTTAAAATTGTTGTTCAAGTACAGTTTTGTCCATCCCTTCCCAGTCCTGTTACAGATTTGAGAGGGGGGAGAGAGAGAGAGAGAGAGAGAGAGAGAGAGGGAGAGAGAGAGGGACCTAGACTTGTTGTTCTACTCATTGAGCATTCATCAGTTGCATCTTGTGTGTGCCCTGATCAGGAATTGAGCCCACAACCTTGGCATACTGGGATGATGCTCTAACCAATTTAACTATCACATAGGGACTAATATTTGCTACTTTAAAGTGTACAGTCAGTGTAGAATATGTCTTTGTGTGTTTATTTAACCTCCGATTTCTTCATTTACCACAAATGAAGAAAGACACAGCTTTTATTTTTGCGTACATGTCCCCTCTTACCAGCTGGTATTTCCATGTCTCAGTAAATTATTTGAATATTTATATATTTCTCTCTGGAGCTGTTACTAAATGTCATGCTCACTTCTTTCCATTTGACACAATCAGTGTGACACTGGCCCTCCTCACTCTAGTCTCTGGTACCTTCAGTTCACACTTCTGGTGTCCCTCTGCTGCATTCTAGAAATTTCTTCAATATTGTACTCCACTTTCATAATTGGACCTTCAGCTCTCTCATCCATGATGGGAAGGATTGTTTTAATGTGTCCATCTATTGGGTTATCCATCTGTCAGATTTCTAACTACTTATATTCTTCTGTAAAACAATTCACATTCCTGGTTCAAACCATTTAATCCTCCCTTTTTTTTCAGATATTTACATGCGATCATCTTCCATTGCTGTCATATTTTCCACTGACTCTCTTTCATTACATGGGACAGTCACCACTCTCAGTAGATGGCGTCCATAGCACTGTCTGTCATCATTGGGATTTCTCCACTGTCTACTCTTGTCAGAGTCTCTCCCCTCCCACACCTGGTCTCCCACAGATTCTCCTGAGCTGTCCTGGGAGTCAGGCTGACCAGGGGTTGTGGCAGCTGCCCTTGTCCCATGCTGTTCACTCTCTCAGGCTCAGCCCCTGCTCAGCATCCTGTCCACCAGAGCTGGTCCAATGGGAGCCCCTCCCCCACCCCACACACACACTCACACAGGAAAGACACCCATGGCTGACATACTGGACTCAATGTGTTTCAGAACACACAGGACAGACTGCTCACTGCTCACCATGAACTCAGGGGAGTGGGCAGAGACACCCCAAAGCCCACACAAACACGGGGCAGGGACCACACTTCTAGCCTTCACCTGCTCCCTGACCCCCTTCCTTGTGAGGACCTGGGGTCCCTTTCTTTCCACTCAGGGGGACAGTTTCCTCCTTATGACTCATGGGTAGACCAGTCACGGGAGTCCACTCAATTTCAGTCTCTGTTCTCCACTGTGGTTCCCTGTCCATTTATGGAACTTTCATCTCTTTCCTAGACATGTCTGTGCCTACATAATGTAGAGCTATTGTGAGTAGTTGTGCTGGGTATTCAGAGCAGATAAGGTCTTGGGTGGGTACTACAATTCTGCCCTTGGCCCTGGACACCTTGAACCTCTCATCTCCCAGCCCACTCACATCTTCACCTTATCTGTAATAAATCACTATATGGAAGCCTCCTTCCCATGAACCAGCACCACTGACCCACAGTCACTGTGGAGACTGGGCTTTGTGGTGATATCATCCAGATGAGGAGACTGAGGCAGACTGGACACTACCACTCAAGGACACATGGACATTGGATGATGAGTATTAAAGTAAATAACTGCTTTAAGGAAAAATCAGGACTGTAACCCAAATCAATGTTTGAAGGCAGGACCACAGCATGATGAGGAGGCTTGAACCAGGAAACAGGGGGCACTGAGGGGGCAGGGATCACTCAGAGGTTTTTCCCTAGGAAGGTGGGGTGGACACTCTTGCTAAGAAAAAATGGGAACTCAGTGAAGGTGGCTGTGATAGAGAGAAAACCACACTCTGGGTCCAGAGGAAAGGACGTGTTTCCTTCCCCTATTCCTCTGTGTCTGTCCTTTGTGCTCATTGTCACAGTGACACTCGCCTGAACTGCACAGTGAGGAGGAGACCGTGTCTCTGCTGATCTGAGCTCTGCAGTCTCAGGGACCCCCGTCTTCCTGAAGCATCTCCAGGTCCTGGGTGCCCACTGTCCATGGGGAGGACCCACAAAGAGGTACTGAAAGCCAGCAGAAGGTGAAGGGAACCCTTGGGGGAGGCTCTGACCTGCAAGGATGTGATCTGGGTCACCTCACCTGAAAGGGGCGTCTCAGAAGACTCTGGGTCTATTTTTTCCTCCATCTTGAGAATG